AGTCGGGGGTGACAGAGATCTGAGTAAGGTTCTGGATCACTTAAACCTGGCCTAAAAGCCAATTAAACCTGAGTTTAATTGGAAAGCCGTGGGTAAAGAGTGAGTTAGGCCCTGGACCGCTTAAACCCAGCACTAAATGTTCATTAAGCTCAGCTTTAATTAGTCAGGGGTGACAGAGATCTGAGTAAGGCTCTGGACCACTTAAACCCAGCCTAAAAGCCAATTAAACCTGGTTTTAATTATCAGGGAGTTCCAACCTGGAGTAACGGCTGGAGCAGAGCCTTGAACTACTTAAGCCCAGCACTAAATGTTCATTAAGCTCAGTTTTAATTACTCAGGGGTGGCAAAGCCTGAGTAAGGCCTTGGATCACTTAAACCCAGCACTAAATGTTAATTAAGCTCGGTTTTAATTGCTCAGGGGTGACAGAGATCTGAGTAAGGCCTGAACCGCTTAAACCCAGCCTAAAAGCCAATTAAACCTGAGTTTAATTACAAACCTCTCAGTAAAGAGTGAGTTCAGGGCTCTGAACCACTTAAACCCAGCACTAAATGTTCGTTAAGCTCAGTTTTAATTAGTCAGGGGTGGCAGAGATCTGAGTAAGGCTCTGGATCACTTAAACCCAGCACTAAGTGTTAATTAAGCTCGGTTTTAATTGCTTGGGGTGGAGCTGGGCTGGCCTGGGGGGATTTGTGGTTCCGTCATTGTTGGGGGGTTGAAATCTCATTTTTGGGGCTAAAATTGGGAAATTTGGGGCTGAGTTTGTTAATTTTGGGGCTGAATTTTGGAATTTTGGGCTGGAATTGGGAATTTTGAGGCCAGAATTTGGAATTTTGAGGCCAGAATTCACAATTTTTGGGCCAAAATTTGGAATTTTGGGACTGAATTTGTAAAGTGAAAAAACCAGAAAAATTCAAATTTGGGTGCAAAATCCCATTTTCTGCAGGATTCTCCCAATTTTTTGGGGTTGTGGGCTGGAAAAATTATTGGAAAAACCCAAATTTTGGTGCCAAAATCTCATTTTTCTGTAGGATTCTTCCAATTTTTTGGATTTTGGGGCTGAAAAAATGGGGAAAAAAGGGTAAAAACCCAAATTATGGTGCCAAAATCTCATTTTTTGGTCGGTATCTCCCCATTTTTATTTATCCCAGTGAACCCAGGGTGGATTTCCAGGATTTTGGGGAAATTCCTGAGGTTTTTTCCCCTCAGAATCGGGGTGGAGCAGAAATCCCTCCCTGGAATGCGGATTTGGGGCTGGAAAAATGGGGAAAAAACCCTGAAAAATTCCAATTTTGGTGCCCAAACCCCATTTTCCCATGGGAATCTCCCCATTTTGATGGATCCCAGAGAACCCAGGTGGATTTCCAGGATGTTGGGGAAATTCCTGACATTTTTTTCCCTCAGAGTTCGGATTTATTGCTGGAAAAATGAAAAAAAAAGTTAAAAAAACCCTGTAAAATTCCAATTTTGGTGCCCAAACCCCATTTTCCCGTGGGAATCTCCCCATTTTGATGGATCCCAATGACCCCAGGGTGGATTTCCAGGATTTGGGGTGGGAATTCCCAACATTCCCAAGGGTTTTTCCCCTCAGAGCGGGTGGAGGCGCCGTGCCGCAGCGGGGCAGCATCGATGGAGCAGCCGAGCGAGCTCTGACTGCGCCGCGTTCGGGAGCACTTCCATGGCCATGTATCCTACAAGGTACCTGGGAAGTCCCAAAAATCCCTTCTCCCAAATCCCTGCCCCTTTGCCCAAATCCCTGCCCCTTTGCCCAAATCCCTGCCCCTTTTTTCCCAAATTCCTGCCCGTTTTCCCCAAATTCCTGCCCCCTTTCCCCAATTTTCTGCTCCTTTTCCCCAATTTTTTGCCCCTTTTCCCCCACTTTCTGCCTCTTTTTCCCAAATTTCTTCCCCTTTTCCCCAAACTTCTGCCCCTTTTTTCCCAAATTTTCTGACCCTTTTCCCCAAATTCCTGCCCCTTTTCCCCAATTTTCTGCCCCTATTTTCCCAAATTTCTTCCCCTTTTCCCCAAATTTCTGCCCCTTTTCCCAAATTTCTTCCCCTTTTCCCCAAACTTCTGCCCCTTTTTTCCCAAATTTTCTGACCCTTTTCCCCAAATCCCTGCCCCTTTCCCCCAATTTTCTGCTCCTTTTTTCCCAAATTTTCTGCCCCTTTTTGCCAAATTTCTGCCCCTTTTCTCCTAATTTTCTGCCCCTTATTTCAATTTTTTTGCCCCCTTCCCCCAATTTTCTGCTCCTTTTTTCCCAAATTTCTGCCCCTTTTCCCAACTTCCTTTTTTTTCCAAACTCCTGCCCCTTTTCCCAAATTCCTGCCCTTTTTCCCCAAATTCCTGCCCCTTTTCCCAGTTTCTGCCCCTTTTTTCCCCAATTTTCTGTCCGTTTTCCCAAATTTCTCTCTTTTTTCCCCAAATTTCAGGCTGGTTCCAACTCCCCAAAGCCACCTCAAGGTGCTCCCCACCCCCTTGGTGCCACCCCAGGGTGCTCCCCACCCCCCTTGGTGCCACCTCAGGTCCCTCAGGGTGGTCCCAGCCCCCTTGGTGCCACCTCAGGGTGCTCCCCACCCCCTTGATGCCACGTCAGGGTGATCCCAACCCCCTTGGTGCCACCTCAGGGTGCTCCCCACCCCCTTGGTGCCACCCCCGGGTGGTCCCAGACCCTCTCTCAAGCCCCCCCTCCCACCCGCAGGGTCTCCGGTGAGGAATGCAACGGCATCAACGCCAGTCCCAGCCCCCTTGGTGCCACCCCAGGGTGGTCCCAGATCCACCCCAGGGTGATCCCACCCCCCATGGTGCCACCCCAGGGTGATCCCACCCCCCGTGGTGCCACCCCAGGGTGGTCCCCACCCCCTTGGTGCCACCCCAGGGTGATCCCAACCCCCTTGGTGCCACCCCCGGGTGGTCCCAGACCCTCTCTCAAGCCCCCCCTCCCACCCGCAGGGTCTCCGGTGAGGAATGCAACGGCATCAACGCCATGGCGGCCGAGAGCGGCCCCGGCACGCGCCTGCGGAACCTGCCGGTGCTGCCGGACGCGCTGGACTCCACGCAGCCGTCGGCGGCGCCGGCGCCCGGCCAGGCCCAGCCCGGCGTCGGCGTCGGGGTCAATCCGCCGCCGCCGGAGACGTCCAACCCCAACAAGCCCAAGCGCCAAACCAACCAGCTGCAGTACCTGCTCAAGGTGGTCCTCAAGACCCTCTGGAAGCACCAGTTCGCGTGGCCCTTCCAGCAGCCCGTGGACGCCGTCAAGCTCAACCTCCCGGTGGGTTTGGGGAAGGGTGGGGGTCTCCGGGAGGTGGGGTAGGGTGGGGGTCTCCGGGCGGTGGGGAGGGGGGGGGGGTTCAGGTTGACTTGATGATCCATGGTTTGATTGGTTGATCCAGTGGTTGAGTTAGTGCTCCAATGTTGAGTTGGTGCTCCAGTGGTTGGTTTGATGATCCAGTGGTTGAGTTGATGACCCAATGTTCAGTTGATGATGCAGTGGTTGAGTTGATGATCCCATGGTTGGATTGGATGATCCAAGGGTTGGGTTGCATGGTCCAAGAATTCTATTGCATGATCCAAGGGTTGGATTGGATGATCAGGGGTTCGCTTGATGATCCCGTGGTGGATTTGATGATCCAAAGGTTCAGTTGATGCTCCAGTGGTTGGGTTGATGATCCATGGTTTGATTGGTTGATCCAATGGTTCTGTTGATGATCCAATGGTTGGGTTGATGATCCAGTGTTGAGTTGATCCAATGGTGGAGTTGATGATCCAGTGGGGGAGTTGATGATCCAGTGGTGGAGTTGATGATCCAGTGGTTGGGTTGATGATCCCATGGTTGCGTTGGTTGATCCAATGGTTCTGTTGATGATCCAGTGGTTGGTTGATCCGGTGTTGAGGTGATGCTCCAATGGTTGAGTTGGGAGTTGATGATTCAGTTTTGGGTTGATGATCCCATGGTTGCATCGGTTGATCCAATGGTTCTGTTGATGATCCAGTGTTGAGTTGATGCTCCAGTGGTTGAGTTGATCCAGTGTTGAGTTGATGCTCCCATGGTTCCATTGATGCTC